TAACAAAAACAAAGTTGCTGGAAAAGCTCAGCAGGTCTGGCAGCATCTGTGAAGGAAAAAACAGAGTTAATGTTTCTGGTCCGGTGACCCTTCCTCAGAACTGGAATATACAAGGGAGAACCTAGTTCTCAGTTCTGAGGAAGGGTCACCGGACCATTGAATGGCGAGGGTTGGTGGTTAGTTTGTTTCTGATTGGTGTTCTCATTGCCTGGTCATTTGTGTGACACAAATGTTACTTTCCATTTGTCAGCCCAAGCCTGGACATTGTCCAGATCATCATCATGGAATCACAGAAAGCCCAGCACCAAAACAGGCCATTCGGCTCAACAAGTCCACACAGACCTTCTGAAGACCATTCCACCCAAACCCATCCACTAACCCTATCCCTGTATTTCCCATGGCTAACATAAGTAACCTACACATCCCTGAACACTACGGACAATTTAGCATGGCCAATCCACCTAACTTGCACATCTTTGGATTTGCTGCATTTGAACGCAGGCTGCTGCAGTATCTGAGGAGTTGCAAATGTAGCTGAACATTTTGCAACCATTGGCAAACATCCCCACTTCTGACCTTATGATGGAGGGGAGGTCATTGATGAAGCAGCTGAAGATGGTTGGGCTTAGGACACTGCCCTGAGGAACTCCTGCAGAGATGGCCTGGTGCTGAGATGACAGACCTTCAACCAACAACTGCAACCATCTGTGAAGCACCTTGCTGAGTCTTGAGAGGACTGTTTTGTTTGCACTTAAATTATGTTTTAAAAAGATGTTAATGACGTTTACTCCTCCAAGTATGTGACCAAACCAGGTGCATCTTAACCACTCTTGTCATTTCACCACGAAACAAAAAATCACAGTTCCTCCTTCTCTCATTTACATAACAACATAAGAACCAGGAGCAGGAGTAGGCCATTTGGCCCATCAAGGTTGCTTGCCCTCTTGTTCTAGTTTCACCCACCAGTGGAAACAACCTCCCTGCTTCTATCTTATCCATTCCCTTCATTTTTCTAAATTCCAATGAATATATTCCCAGTATATTCAGTCTCTCCTCATAAGCCAACACTCTCAACTCTGGAATCAACCTAGTGAAGCTCCTCTGCACCCCCTCCAGTGCCAGTACATCCTTTTTCTCGTAAGGAGACTAAAACTGCACACAGTACTCCAGGTGTGGCCTCACCAGCACCCTATATAGGTGCAACATAACCTCCCTGCTTTTAAACTCAATCCCTGTAGCAATGAAGGACAAAATTCCATTTGCCTTCTTAATTACCTGTTGTACCTGCAACCAACCTTCTGAGATTCATACACAAGGACACCCAGGTCCCTCTGCACAGCAGCACACTGCAATCTTTTACCGTTCAAATAATAGTCCTTTTTACTGTTATTTCTGGAAAAGTGGATGACTTCACATGTATCAACATTGAATTCCATCTGCCAGACTTTCGCCCACTCACTTAAACTATCTATATCCTTCCGCAAACTTTCAGAGTCCTCTGCACACTTTGCTCTACCACTCATCTTGGTGTCATCCACAAACTTTGACACACTACATGTGGTCCCCAACTCCAAATCATCTATGTAAATTATAAATAATTGCAGCCCCAGCACTCTGATCCCTGAGGCACACCACTAGTCACTGTTCGCCAACCAGAAATGCATTCATTTATCCCACTCTTTGCTTCCTGTTAGTTAACCAATCCTCGATCCAAGCTAATACATTGCCTGTAATGCTGTGCACCTTTATCTTACGCAGCAGCCTTTTGTGCGGCACCTTGTCGAATGCCTTCTGGAAATCCAGATACACCACGTCTACTGGGTCCCTGTTGTCCACTGCGCTTGTAATGTCTTCATAGAATTCCAGCAAATTAGTCAAGCATGACCTGCCTTTCATGAACCCATGCTGCATCCAGCCAATGTGGCAATTTCTATCTAGATGTCTTGCTATTTCTTCCTTGATGATAGATTCAAGCATTTTCCCCACTACAGAAGTTAAGCTAACCGGCCTATAATTCCCCATCTTTTGTCTACCTCCTTTTTTAATCAGTGGTATCACATTTGTTGTTTTCCATTTGCTGGAACTACCCCAGAGTCCAGCAAATTTTGGAAAATGACCACAAGTGCATTTGCTATTACTCCTGCCATCTGTTTTAGTACCCTGGGATGCATTCTATCAGGGCCAGGAGACTTGTCTACCTTTAGCTCCATTAGCTTGCCCAACACTACCTCTTTCATGATAATGATTATGTCTAGGTCTTTATCTACCTTAATATCTTTGACATCAATTACTGACAAGTTATTCTTGTCCACTGTGAAGAGCGACACAAAATATCTGTTCAATATCTCAGCTAATTCCTCATTTCCCATTATTGAATCCCCCTTCTCATCCTCTAAAGGATCAATGTTTACCTTAGCCACTCTTTATTGTTTTATATATTTATAGAAACTTTTGCTATCTGTCTTTATATTCTGAGCTAGTTTAGTCTCATAATCTATCTTACTTTTCTTTGTAGCCGTTTTTGTGGCATTCTGTTGACCTTTAAAGTGTTCCCAGTCTTCTAGTTTCCCTCTGGTCTTTGTCACTTTGTATGCCTTATCTTTCAATTTGATAGCCTCTCTTATTTCCTTCGACATCCATGGCTGATTACCCCTTTTCCTACAGTCCTTCCTTTTCACTGGTATATACTTCTGCTGAGCACTTTGAAAAATTGCTTTGAAAGTCCTCCACCGTTCCTCAACTGTCCCACCATAAAGTCTTTGTTTCCAGTCTACTTTAGCCAACTCCTCCCTCATTCTACTGTAGTCTCCTCTGTTTAAGCACAGGACCTTGGCATTGGATTTTATCTTCTCACTTTCCATCTGTATTCTAAATTCAACCATACTGTGATCGTTCCTTCAAAGAGGACCCCTAACTATGAGATAATTCATTATCCCTGCCTCATTACACAGGACCAGATCTAGGATAGCTTCATCCTTTATTGGTTCCCATCTATTGATTTCAATTTTCTGACACTTTACAAGATCACAGAATTGATACAGTGCAGAAAGAGAATGTTCCAGTTCTATTCCCCAGTGCCAATCCCTTGCCTTTTACCCCATATCTCTGCACACTATTTCCATCCAAATAATTATCCCCTTGAAAGTCTCAACTGAACCTGCCTCCATCACATTTCTAGGCTGTGAGAAAATTTATTCCCGCATCAACCTTTCATCATTTGCACATCACTTTAAATTGATTCCTTCTCATTTTTTTTCCAGTTCTTTTTCTTGACTCAAAAATATCTGAAGACTATCACAAAGGCAAATCCCAATAGCTCCAGGACCTTCTTATGGCATCAAAATTAGACTCTTCGAATCAAAGAGTGATGCTGCACAGAATGGAGGCCATTCAGCCCACAATGCATCTGCTGGCTGCTTGCAATTGCAGTCCAGGTAGTTCCTGCTCCCCTCCTCTTTCCTTGCAGCCCTGCAGCACAAGGGGTGGCTCAGTGGCTCAGTGGTTAGCACTGCTGCCTCATAGTGTCAGGGACCCAGGTTCGATTCCACCCTCAGGCAACTGACTGTGTGGAGTTTGCACATTCTCCCTGTGTCAGTGTGGGCTTCTTCCAGGTGCTCTGGTTTCCTCCCACAGTCCAAAGGTGTGCAGGCGAGGTGGATTGGCTGTGCTAAATTGCCCATAGTGTTCAGGGATGTGTAGATTAGGTGGGTAACAGGGTAACAGGGGGATGGGTTGGTGCTCTGAGGGTCGGTTTGGACTTGTTGGGCCGAAGGGCCTGTTTCCACACTGTAGGGATTCTGTGAAGTGGGTGACCCCACAATCTGTGTCTTCTCAAGCAACATAACAAATCTCAGACTCATGCCTCATTTATATGAGGATCTGGGCAGGCCATTTAGGACTGAGATGGAGAGAAATGTGTTCACCCAGAGAGTGGGGAGCCTGTGGAATTCTCTGCTGCAACTCAGCGTCAGTGGTGGAGGGAGTGAATATTTGTGAATGTCACAAGAATTCTCAAACCTCCAAGTGAGGCGTCAGAGGGAAAAGCTTTGGGAAGCACTGAAGTAGATATTGGGTTTGTTTGACCAGCAACTTCTTACACAGTTACAGTTTGTAGAACAATTGCATTGTTACACTCACTGCTTCCCACCCTTTACCCTCACAGTAATCACATCATTAATTGATTCTGGATCCTTCTGTTGGAAAGACATTGTGAAACTTGAAAGGGTTCAGAAAAGATTTACAAGGATGTTGCCAGGGTTGGAGGGTTTGAGCTATAGGGAGAGGCTGAATAGGCTGGGGCTATTTTCCCTGGAGTGTCAGAGGCTGAGGGGTGACCTTATAGAGGTTTATAAAATCATGAGGGGCATGGATAAGGTGATTAGCCCGGGTCTTTTCCCTAGGGTGGGTGGGGGAGTCCAAAACCAGAGGGCATAGGTTTAAGGTGAGAGAGGAAGGATTTAAAAAGGATCTGAGGGGGTAACTTTTTCACACAGAGGGTGGTCCGCGAATGGAATGAGCTGCCAGAGGAGGTGGTGGTGGGTACAATTTCAACATTTAAAAGACATCTGGATGGATATACGAATAGGAAGCGCCTAGAAGGATATGGGCCAAATGCTGGCAAATGGGACTAAGTCGGAATGCGATAGGCGCTCAGTGTGGATGAGTTGGACAGAAATGTCTCTTTCTGTGCTGTATGACTCTATGATTCAAACAGCACATTTGTTAAAATGCCAAATCTCTTCCTTTGAAATGGCATTGAAGTCAATGAGACCCATTGGATAGAATTCAAGTTGAAGTAATTTGAAAGCTGGGAACAGAACACCAAGCACAGGGGAAGCTGAAAGACAGTAAGGAAAGTGGGTGAAATTCCAATGCCAGCTGAGGTTGGCTACTTTTTGAATGCTTGTCATTCTTAAAATGTTGTCACTGCTTCCTGAGCCTGAAAGGACACATCAGCCTGGACCCCACTGAAGGTGATGTTAAACACTTGAGTCACCTACTGTTATCGATGATTTTCCGGCTGTGTTTCCGTGTTTCATCAGGGATTTTGAAAGCTTTCTCTGGGAAATAATCTGTAACAAAAGGAACAAAACATTTCAAATAACTCTGGTCACAGAAGAGGATGCAACAATACAGGATCAATACAACAAGAACTGGGAGCAGGAGTAGGCCATTCAGCCCCTCAAACCTTCCCCACCATTTAATACGGTCATGACTGATCTCAACTCAGCCTCAACTCCAGTTTCCCATCTGCTTCCCATAACCCTTTAACCGATTACTCCTCCTTAAATTTACTCCCACACTCTGGGGTAATGAATTCCATAGTTTCACAACCCTTTGGGAGAAGTAATTTCTCCTCATCTCGGTTTTAAATCTGACACCCCTTATCCTAAAACTATGACCTCTCGTTCTAGATCACCCCCACGTTAAGAAGCATCCTCTCGACATCTACTTTATCAATCTCCTTTAGATCTCCTTTCATTCTTCTAAACTCCAGAGAAAATAGAGCTAAACTGCTCAATCTTTCTTCATAAGACAAGTCTTTCGTTCTGGGGTTAATCTAGTGAACCTTCTCTGAATTACATAAATTACTTAAACCAGCTGCAAGAACAGCACAAATTCCAAAGTTTTCTTCCTTACAAGGAGAAAATGATCATTAATGTGATCAGTTTCATGGTGGTCACTGCACTGACAGAGGTGTCATCTTTCAGATGAGATGTCTAATCTGTGGGCCCATCTGTTGGCTCAGATTGGATGGAAAAGATCCTTGGAATTATTTTGAAAACGAGCAAGAGCGTTTCCCCAGGGTCCCACTCAATCTTTACCCCTCACCCAGCATCAGAAGAAACAGATTAACTAAAGAATGCTGTTTTTTGCTTTCTTGCTGTGCGCAAGTTGGTTGCCACGGTACCTATTTTATAACAATGACTGCACCTCATTTATTGGTCATGAAGGGCTTTAAGATATTCAGTGTTAATATAAAAAGATACTGAACATGTTCATATTTTGCCCCCTGGACATATTTAAAATATAGAAGAATGATGCTGCAGTTAAGTAAGCCAGTCACTAGAGGACAATGTCCGTTTCTAGTCAGTCACTGAGGAAGCTTGCTCATTCACTCGAAAGTAAAGATCATAATGAAGGGGGTCAGGGAATTGGGAGGAATGAGGATTAGAATGATAGACCAGGAGGAAGAAAGACAGAGAGAGAAGCTGAATTACAGAGAGAAACAGAGATAAACTAGGTGAGACAAAGAGAATAGGTGTGAGAAAGGGGAAAGTGAAAGACAGGGAGAGAAACAGTGAGAGTCAGAAGGAGCTACAGAAAGAGTGAGAGACTGAAAGAGAGAGACCTAGACTGAGGGAAGAGACAAAGAGAAAGACAGAAAAAGAGGAGGAAGGACAGAAAGACACAGAAAAGTGAGATAGAGCAAAAGAGAGACACACAGAGGGAGAGAGAGAGAGGGAAAGAGAGATGGAGAGAGGGAGAGACACAGAGGGAGAGACAAAGAGAGACAAAGAGAGAGAGAGACAGGGAGAAACATAGAGGGAGAGAGGCAGGGAGGAGAGAGGGAGAGAGACAGAAAGAGAGCAACAGAGAGACGGAGAGAGAGAGAGACAAAGGGAGTAACAAAGTGAGATAGAGCAAGAAAGAGAGATAGAGAGACAGAGACAGAGAGAGAGATGGAAAGGGAGATGGGGGAGTAATAATGCAAAATAAAGAGAGCATGAGAAAAAAAAACAGTTAAGAAAACTATTTGATGGATCATAACATATTTCCCATTACAGAGGGAGATTGAGCAGCTTAGCAAAGAGAAAACAGTACACAGGCTGAAGCATACTGAATATCATGAACTGTGTGGATGATCCTTAGGCCATCAGCAATATTGAACAAATTAAGCACACAAGGCATATAGGAACTTTGTAGGAATAAAGTGCCAGAATGATGTGTCAAGGAGATTGTGAGAACAAAAGGAAAGAAAGTGTAGAGTAGCTAAAGACAGGGACTGTACTTAGTAGCTAAGTTGGCATTTCCATTCAGTTGAAAACTCATTTCTGTTGTCAGTTGGGAAATCAAAGGAAAGAGAGGAGATTAACATAATTCTTGCAGATGAAATAAATCAAATCACTTTTTTAAAAAGCACTGGGCTTGCTTTTGCTTCAGTGATGATCTGAAAAGGTCATTCCCATTATGGTGCTACAATTGCAGACATATTTAAGGGGTATCATCGTCCCATTAGATTTGTCTTCTCCTGGATAAAGCACTCCTCATTAATACTCAGCAAAAGATCATGCACACACAACTGATAATGATATTTGAGAATGTACACTGAGTCAGACTTCACAACAAAACAATGAGCTCAACAGAATCAACAACATTTAAGAATACAGAGTTATGGCAGTAAAGGAAATGGGGTGAATTACAACTGAATTAGATGCGATAAGAATTGAAGAGAGAGAAAGAAAAGTCAGGAGAAAAATAAAGAAAAATTGTTATAGTGCAAAATTTGAATAATTACTGTATTGCAGTAATGAGATTCCAGAATTTCAGTTTCTCATTTTTCTGGGCATCACAGGAACAGCATTAACCAGCTCCTTACACTGTTAAGTAGCAGGCCTAACCTTCTATGGTGAACAATCACTTGGTAGAGCAGAGTTTAAGAAGATACAAAGTTAAAACCATCAAAAAAGTGACCAGACCCTGCCTGAAGAGCTCTAGGCCTAAGCTGTAAAAATCCTTCAGAAAATACAGCCTTTCGTCAAGAAGTGTTTGTTAATCTCCCTTTTCAATAAACTAACTGGTTTTATCATTACATCTCCTTGTCCTGGATTCTCCTCCACCCAGTTGAAAAAGTGGTTATCTCATGTAACTTATCAAACTCTTTAAGAATAAAAACTTCAAAATAAATCACTCTTAGCTTAATATATTCTAGGCAACACAAATCTAAGTTATACAATCTCTCCTCATAATCCAACCCTTGGAACCTCAGTCACCTTCTGTTGAATCTACAGTGCCCTCCATCTGTGATCAATATAAACTTTCTAAGATGTGGTACTCAGAACCATATGCAGTACTCTGCACTATTATACAGGAGGGTGTGGTGATATTGTGGCCATGTCACTGGACTAGTAACCCAGTCTAATGTTCTGACCAATTGGGATTAAATCCCAATTAGTGAAGTTTGATTTTTTTGAAGAAAAACTAATCTAATGTTGACCGTATCATAAAAAGAAAACAGGTTCGTATAAGGTTGTGCAGGACATTGGTGAGGCCTCTTCTGGAGTACCATCACCCAGTAATAGGAAGGATATTATTAAACTGGAGAGGGTTCAGAAGAGATTTACCAGGATGTTGTCAGGTATGGAAGGTTTGAGTTATAAATTAAAGAAAGGCTGGATAGGCTGGGACTTTTTTCACTGGAGCATAGGAGGTTGAGAGGCAGCCTTATAGAAGTTTATAAAATAATGAGGGGTATTGATAGAGTTAATGGTAGCTGTGGTTTCCCAAGGATGGGTGATTTCAAGACGACAGGACACATTTTTAAGGTGAGAGGAGAAAGATTTAAAAAAGACATGAGGGGCAAATTTTTTACGCAAGGGTGATTCAGGTGTGGAGTGAACATCCTGAGGAAGTGGTGGATGTGGGTACAATTATAACTTTTAAAAGACATTTGGATAAATACACAAATCCTTTACCTTTATTCATTCACAGGATGAGGGTGTTGCTGGCTAGGCAGCATTTTCTTCCCATCCCTAATTGCCCAGAGGGCAGTTAAGAGTCAACCACATTACTGTGGGTCTGGACTCACATGTAGGCCAGACCAGGTAAGGGTGGCAGTTTCCTTCCCGAAAGAATATTCATGAACCAGATGGGTTTCTTTTCCGACAATCGACAGTGGATTCATAGTCATTAGATTCTTAATTCTACATATTTATTGAATTCAAATTCCACCATCTACCATAGTAGGATTTGAACCCAGGTCCCCAGAACATTATCTGGGTATCTGGATTAACAGTCTAGCGATAATACCACTGGGTCATTGCCTCCCTGAAATAGGAAAGGTTTGGAGGAATATGGGCCAGGAGCAGACAGGTGGGACTATTTAATTTGGAATTACGTTCGGCATGGACTGGTTGGACCAAAGGGTCTGTTTCCCTGCTGTATGACTCTGTGACTATGACTCAATGACTATCTTTTAGGGAAGGAAATCTGCAGTCCTTACCTGATCTGGCCTACAGGTGACTCCAGACCCTACAGGTTGACTCTGAACTGCCCTCTGGGTAACAAATGCTGGCCTGGCCAACAACACCCACAACCCCTGAATGACTAAAAGAGAAGGGTCTAACTTAGGCTTTGTAGATCTAACTCAAACCTTTATCTTCTTTACTTGATTAAGCGGGAGGAAAGGACACACACTGATGCTGTGTTTCTGCTTTAATTTCGGAGTTGAGCATTTCAGACAGGATTAAAGGTTTTCTGCTGTGATGATATGGCAGTGTTCAATCGTGAATAAAATACTGTGTTTCACTCCAAAGATATGACTCTTCAGGATATGCAGGAAGCAACTTCACCAAAATAAGCAGTAAATTTTTCCACTGCAACAATTGAAGGCAGTTCTGTCCTGAAGGGTTAACCTAGTTAATAGGCATAACTAGATGCCACAACACATCCATCAGGAACTAACTCACCACTTGATGAATATAAACTGCAACGTCTAAATGAAAAACTGCAGATATGAAATAATATTGGAGACCATCAAGCCCATGCTATCCACAGACAGTGGATAATCCACTTTGTCATTCGCAATATTGTATTTAAATTTCCCAAGGGAACACTCTGTAAATAATCACTGATTCTCAATGTTAATGAAGTAAAGTTGCACAATATTCATACATCTCCATTTTCTGCTTGTGGGGAGATTGGAACTAGGAACACAATTTAAAAATAAGTGCTTTCCCATTTCAGTCGGAGGGTTGAGGAGAAATTCTGCTTTCAGAGGAGTGTTACTCTGTGGCAGTGTGACCAGCCCTAACACCATCACTACTGCAGAAATGAGGCCCAAGGTTTTTAAATATGAGAATATTAGAAATAGGAGGCCCAAGGTTGAGTAGTATTATCAGAGACCCAGGCAACATTCTGGAGAGCTGGTTTTAAATCCCACCATGCCAGAATCCAATACAAATCTGGAATTAAGAGGTTAGTGATGATCATGAATCCATTGTCAATTGTTGGGGAAAAACCCATCTAGTTCCCTAAAGCCCTTTAGGGAAGGAAACTGCCATCCTTACCTGGTCTGGCCGACATGTGATTCCAGACCCACAGCAATGTGGTTGACTGTTAACTGCCCTCTGGGCAATTAGGGATGGGCATTAAATGCTGCCCAGCCAGCGACGCCCTCATCCTGTGAATGAATAAAAAAAGGAACGAGCACAGGCCATTCAGCCCATTGAGCCTGCTCTGCGTTTCAATGAGATCATGGCTGATCTTCTACTTTAACATTCTCCTGCACTGTCCAAGTAACCCTTGGTATTTTTCATATGTAGACATATGCTCAGTAGCTGGGCCACCACAGAACTCTGGGGGAGAGAGTCCCAAATGTTCACCTCCCTCTGAGTGAACAAATGCTGCCCCATCTGAGTCTTACATTCAAAAGTCCAGAGAACATGGCGTTGGTTTGATCTCTCTTGACAGGACAGTCCCATCAGCCCAGGATCAAGTCCCATGAAACCTTCATTGCACTCCCTCTTATGATAATGATAGTTAAATTCTACCTGTGAAGTGAAAACTGCTGACTAACCCTCCAATCCTCTTGCCTGCTTACTTTTCCATTCTGGGATGTTGAGTGTTGTATAGCTTTCCTGAGTGTTTATTTTACTCAAGCATGTGAAGAAGGGGTGCAAGAGGGAAGGGAGTGATACAACAGAGTGAGGACACGTCTTGGTAGGAAGAGCTACAGTACGTGCTGCGGTAGCACTCTGAGACTCTTACTGACTTATAGAATCTCCATGTCAACCACACACACCGAGTCATCGCCATCTCAATGCTCTCGTTGAGGTTGGCCGACTGTAACACTGATTCTGCTCTGATATCAGTGTCTGAATCAATGAGCCTGGAACCTTAAAAAGTAATTGCCAGCATTTTTATTCAAAGTTTACATTGAAGAAAGGGCACATCATTCACTAGAATTAACCTCTCCCTGCGCATCAGTAACCAAGAGTTTGGGCAAGTCACACATGAACAAATGTCTGTGCCAACTGCCAGGATTAGCATGGCTTAGTTTTCATCTTCTTCCCTCTGGGAAGGAAGATAGCTGCCCCATTGGAGCGTGGTTGCAATTAGGTTCTTCATTGTGTTGGTTATTTACCAGCACAGCTTCCCATTGCTGTCACACAGGATGGTACCATCTAGTCACCTTTAGTTCATAGAATCCCTACAGTGTGGAAACAGGCCCTCAGCCCAGCAAGTCCCACACTGACCCTCATAGCATCCCACCCAGACCCATCCCCCTAATCCCTGAACACTTTGGGCAATTTAGCATGGCTAATCCACCTAGCCTGCACACCTTTGGACTGTGGGAGGAAACCGGAGCACCTGGAAGAAACCCATGCAGACATAGCCAGTCGCCTGAAGGTGGAACTGAACCCAGGACCCTGGTGCTGTGAGGTAGCAGCACTAACCACTGAACCACCATGTCACCCCTGCCACCTGTTTGAATTAATAAACCACACAAAATCCCTGAGGGACGTGGTAGACTGGATGTTGAAAGGATGTTCCCTCTTGAGGGAGAAACTAGAACTAGGGGCCACCGTAGACAAAGGGGTCTCCCAGTGAAGATGGGAATTGGCTGTGAAAAGAGAATTCTCTCCCCCAGAGAGTCATTCTCAGCTGACAAGAAAGTCAAATAGTGTAGGGAGGTAGACAGGAAAAGAGAGGCCATCATGCAGGCTTAACGGGCCGAATGGCACACTCTTGCTCCAAACGCACATGTTTGTAGTAAGCTCATATGGTGACAAATTCACTTCCATTGTCACAGGTTAGAAATTTCCGAGTGCCAGAATGTTCTCTGAAGCAGCACTGACTGAGGTAAGGGCTGAGTATTTATCATGTTCGTTTCCTTTTAAAAAAATTCAGCAAGTTTTTTTTTTACCCCAGGCAATGTAAGAATAGAATCAAGATAATTATCTCGAAGCTCACAGTGGATGGCCATTTTAGCGTCTGATCAAAGGGATGATTTATCCAATTTGTTGAAATGCCATAGAATGATTTTTCTTCACTTATTACAGAAGCGAGTCTATGTGTACAGGTGATAAATATGGATCTCGAACAGTTACGTAAGGGCTTGAAGAGCTGAATTAGCATGGAAGAAAGTTAACTCTCCTTTTCTCTTCAAATTCAGGCAAAACGGCTAATGGGTGAAACAATTACACACAAAGCAGACAACGTGCTCCTGCCATCATAAAATGGAATGCATCTCTAATCATTCTCTACCTCTCTAGAATAGTATTCTTCATGTCTATTATAGAAGAACTGGGAGCAGGAGTAGGCCATTCAGTAGGCCTTGAGCCTGCTCTGCCATTTAATACGATTATGGCTGATCTCATCTCAGCTTTAATTCCAGTTCCCTGCCCGCTCTCCATTACCCTTCAACCTGTTACAATAAATAATCTAAAAATTGAAAGTACTGCAGATGCTGGAAATCAAAAACAAAAACAGAAATTGCTGGAAAAACTCAGCAGGTTTGGCAACATCTGTGGAGAGAAATCAGAGTTAATGTTTCGGGTCAAGTGACCCTTTCTGAATGAATAATCTATGTATCTCCTCCTTAAATGTACTCAATGTCCCAGCATCCATCACACTCTGAGTTCCACAGATTCATGACCCTTTGAGTGAAGGAACTCCTCCTCATCTTTGTTTTAAATCTGCCCAACCTTTATCCTAAAACTACGACTTCTGGGTTGGCCCACAAGGGAAAACATTGTTTCTACGTCTTACTTTATCAATCTACTTTAGCAGCTTATTATCCTCACTTAGAATAATCTGGATCCTGTCAATAGTCAAACTTCATCATTAGTTTCCTCCGTGCTGACTGCATTAATGCTCCATTTGTCTTCTTTATCATTGTTTATTTTCTGTGTTTGATAGTTTCCTGCGAGTCAGAGGTTTAATGGTTTAAGCCTCTCACCAGGACTCCAAAACAGAAGCTGGGCTGACCATTTGGTACATACCTGAGGAAGTGCTACACTGCCACAGGGGCCATCTTTCAGATGAAACATCAAAACGGAAGTTACAAAATGATGCTTCATTCTTTCTTCCTGCTAGGTCTCCGATATGAACTGGTCACTCTGCATGGAGTGAAATGTGAAGGACTTAGATATGAAGAAATAATCATGAGTTCATGTGGGAAAAATGGAAGACAACGACTAACCTCTCACCTGAAAAGACAGCACCTCCAGCAAAGCTGCATTTGCTCAGTACAGCCGCTGTGCCGATGCCAGCCCAGATTGCATGGTTAATTCTCTAGAGTGTGGCTTGTACCCAAAACCTATTGGCTTAGAGCTGAGATGGAGTCTCTTTACCAATGTTTACAGATGCACCACAGAAAGCATTCTATCCCAGATGCAGCATGGCCTGGTACAGTTACTGCTCTGCCCAGGACTGTGAGAAACTACAGAGAGTTTTAAACACAGCCCAGTCCATCATGCAAGCCAGCCTTCTATCCATTGACTCCATCTACACTTCTAGCTGCCTCAGAGAGGCAGTCAAAATAATCATCGACTCCTCCCACCCTGGTTATAATCTCTTCCAACCTCTTCCGTCAGGCAGAAGGTACAAAAGCTTTAACACGTGTACCAATGGATTCAAGAACAGTTTCTTCCCCGCTGTTATTAGAATTCTGAACGGTCCTCTCAAATTTTAAATTTAATGTTGATCTCTCTCTTTGTGCACCTTCTCTGCAGTCTTCACTCTGTTCTATTAACCTAATGCACTTTGCATTGTATGATCAGCCTGTACTGCTCACAAAACAAAACTTCTCACTGTACCTACGCACATGTGACAATAATCTCTGTTCCATTACCCTAATGCACTTTGCATTGTATGATCTGCCTGTACTGCTCGCAAAACAAAACTTTTTACTGTACCTCAGTACATGTGACAATAATAAAGCAAATCAAAACAAAAAAAAAGAGTCAAGACAGCGTTTATAATAACCTATATTCACAGCAGCACAGAAAATTTACAACAGACCTGAACACTGTGGGTGGATGCTTACCTGGCCAAGGGTACATTCCATCCCACCAAGAATTTCACCCTCCTTCACCCCATTGTGTAAGTGATTGCTGCCAATATCGTGGACTTCAAACCTCAGGCGCTGAACCTCCTCAAAGTAAAAATCCACCGTGTAAACTTTTGAGAAGACTGGATTTATGCAAGTCCGGATAACCTCAGTCCTGTCAACCTGGGTGGGAGGAAATCAAAGATTTGGTTCAGCTCAATGTCAAGAGAGGGTGCATCGTGAATAACATAAAATATACACACACACACACAGACACACACACACACACACAGACACACACACACACATACACACAGACTCACACAGACTCACACACACACACACAGACACACACACACACAGACACACACGCACACACAGACACACACGCACACACACGCGCACACACAAACACAGAC